GTTTTAAGCGTTTCCGGCTTATACGGGTCAATAACAAAAACAATTCTAAAGCGATTTCAATGTTAGTAATTGAAAAGTTTAGGTTTCATAATTTTAAGCTTGTCAAATAAAGTAGATATATTTCAAAGCCACTGTCTTTTTAGTGCGAAATTGTTGTTGCTGTTGAACTGCAGCAGAAGAAAATNAGCACAGTACATGTTCTGTAGCTACTATTGCACTAAATGGTAACACTTGAATACGTTATGCAAATATGCAACTTGTTTGTTGAAATGTTAATAAATGGGAGCTTCCTCAAACAGCCATCTCTTTCCCGACAATCCCCTCTGTGCACGAACCCTTACATATGGTAATTAAACATTAAAACACCTGCGGCTTATAGTCCAGTGCGGCTTATATATGTACACATCATTCAATTTAGCTGCTGCGGCTTATATTCAGGTGCGCCTTATAGTCCGAAAATTACGGTAGATATATTTCAAAGCCACTGTCTTTTTAGTGCGAAATTGTTGTTGCTGTTGAGCTGCAGCAGAAGAAAATTAACAAGAAGGAATTGTATTCAAAAATGTCTAAAGAGTATGTTTTTGCAAAGAAATAGTGCCTTTCATTTATCTCCCAGCACTTTTAAGCACACTTGAAGGGATGGTTTAATGGCCAGTATGAACAGCATGCGTTATAGGAGCTAAATATTGTAAAGTCAGTGTACTAGTTGTGTAGACAGTGTACCTTGATATGTTACCTAAAAGCATGTTTTTTTTATTTACAATCTTTCATTTCTCCATCCAGGCTTTGCAGAAAGCCAGCCAGGTGATCGCAGAGATCAGAGAAACCCACATGTGGTGAGGGCGGCCGCTCTTCATCCCTCCCAGACCCTCCTCCTCCTCCTCCTCCTCCTCCTCGCTCTCCTTGCTCCTCAGAGACGGAACAACATGATAATGCACTGGTGTGGATATGTGTATATGGAAACATAGTTTTAACGTATAGTAAAGACTTGGATTTAATAAAGGGCAGAACATATCAGCTCCTCAATGTCAGCAACACACATGCTTCTGTCTTAGATTATTATATTTTCTTATGTAACTGAACCAATAAATAAATAAATAGATCATGTAAAGCATCACCACTATGTGGAGCCCTGCTGAAGAATGTCTGCTCTTATTGTAGATCTGAATTAAAGCTGGAACTGATAAACCCATGCTGCGACATCTAGACGCTGTCTTTATCATGTCCATTCTCCATTTATTTATTGACAAAATAATGTCTACTTCTGATTGCTCAAAAGAAATGCACTTAATTTAGATTTAAAATAGTTTTAATTTAATGTAGACATTCAACTATTCAACATGATCCATTTTGTCCCTTTGTTTACATGTTTCAACACGCTCTCGTACACATTGTTAGCGGTTTAGCTACTTTAAAAAGTGTTTCTAAACAATTCTTGCTGCTGAAGTATTTGTATAAATGTGTTATGGTACCGTATGCTGGACTTATTCACACAAACAATCTGCATACTTTGCAGGGAGGCAGCAGAGGGGATGTAATGATTTATTTATTGTTTTATGATAATTGACATGTAACCCAACACAACAGAACAATGAATACACAAATAATGGACACATCGGCCAATCACTGGTGTCTGCATCCTCCTCCTCCTCCGGCGGCTCCTTTACCTCAACCGGCCGCCGCCCAGCTTGCCCTTTCCACGACCTTTGACACTGAAAGGATGCAGGGAGAGATTAAAGCCAAATACCAAGCACTGCTATCAGTGTGATGCCACAAGTGAAGGTGATTAATATACAAAGCAGTGAACGGTGTGTTTTTGATGAGACAGTATTGATGGTTAATACAGACCTTTATATATATGAGGCTTAAAGTGTTTGTTATGCGAGTGAGATTGCAAATAAAAGTACAGTTTATTTCCTTTGCAATTTTTGGAAGAGTCCCGTTCATGATCAGATATTTCTCAAAGTATGCAGTCGTGAAAAAGATATGTTGTGATGAAAGTTAAGAATATAAAAATGAGATTACCATGCAGATCCTGCCAGGTGCAACATAAAACATGATGAGCAAAATTAGCGAGTATGTTCATTATGTAATGCAGCATGGTGGTGAGGGTTGTGTATATTTTATATTGAGATTTATACATGATTGTACTCTGTGACCTCTGTTCCTTCCATGCAATAACAATAGGGTGAATGTAAAGTGTAAGGTAGTACACATTAGCACAATGGAAAGAAAGAGATGGGGGTTTGTGTACTTACCTCTGGTGAGCCTGGACGCGACCGAGAAGCTGGTTGATCTGAAAGAACACATAAATCATAAGCTTTATTTAAAAACACATACAGTATGTATGTAGGTCCAGCACAGGTTGTCAACATGGAGAGGAAAGCCCTCTGTTGACCCAGCATGGGCAGCTTTACATCTATCGTTTCATAGCCACTTAATTGTGTTACCTCTAGCACCTGAAAGCATGGACTGTTTCTCCTGATCATATTCTCCAAACTCCAGACTTTGCTGATTATTTGTCAAATATGGCGTTAAACGATGGTTGTGTTCAGATCAGGTTCAGATGTGTTCCGTGTCTGTTTGCCTCTTTTCTTTCTCATAGAGCAGGGCTATTCAATTGGCGGCCCGGCGGGATATTTACTGGCCCTTTGAGAATAATGTTAAAAAGTCATCTACTTTTTTTTTTGAAGATCTTTTTTTTTTAAAGATTTATTTTAGGCCAGAGTCCCTTTATTCCGGAGAGGGTGTGACATTGCCTTACAACTTCGGCGGGCTCGGGTTTCGAACCCACCTACTAGACAACTCCTGTCATTTATTGCATCTCTGCGTGAATGATCATTTCACCTAAATGAATTCAAATGAAATGATGTTGATGGTTAAGTTAGCTTCACATGTAGGCCTACTGAGTTCTGAACTTGCCATTTAGATCTATAAAGGCCTTGGGGCTATGTTGTTTGATTGAATTAAACACAATATATGCACTCCACTATACTGTTGTAGTATTTACTGTATCTGACGCTCTTAATAGGATTGCTCATATTTCAAGCCATCCCTTTCCCGGCCCCTTGCTTTGGATCATTTTCATCAACCGGCCCCCATTCCAAACTAATTGAATAGCCCTGTCATAGAGGCCCTCATTGCCAAATCCATAAGTTATTTTGTTTGTCCCCTGGATTACTTACGTCGTACTTCTGTCTTTTGAGTTTTTCACTGAGATCAAACTTCTCAGCCTCCAGTCCCATCAGCCACTGCCACATCTCGCTGGCCTTCTCCCTAAACACAAACGGCCATTTTGAGCATATTTAAAATCCCTTGAGTAAAGTAAGTTAAAACACTGCACAGTTTGGACTTACTTGAGTTTGTCCTCATTCAGATGATCAACAACTAGAGGCTTCTTGCGGTCAGCCAGGATCTTCTTCTTCTTCTCCCTCTCAGTTTGTTTCTTGCCTCCTTTTCTTGCCTCACCCTGTGTTCGTCATAAAGCAGAAATACACATAAGTCTGAAAGTAACAAAAAGGAATATTGTTTTTTAAATTCATATTTTCTAAATCAGGGATCGATTTAAAAAAAAAGAAGTACAATTACTACTCCACTATTACCTATATCCTTTTCCATTACGATAAAGTGCTGCTTGCAAACAGAAACTGAAATGCAAACTGGAACTTTTTGAAATTGTGTTGCGCAAATACATCTGCAAAGTACTGTATGTACTGCCTTAATCTGTCAACTCAATGTAGTAAAAAGCATGTCTGAGTGAAGTAGAAGTTAAAAATATCATCAACTGGAAATACTGTAAGTAAAACCTCAGAATTGAAAGAACTTGAATAATGTAGCGTTGCAATAACATATCCCTCTACTGTTAGCCTAAAAGCTGCAATATCAAAGTATTACTTCTCAAGTTTTACTTATACTATTTTAAAATTCTCAGAAAGAAAGAAGCATACATTGATGCAGCCATGGGAGGTTGATTCATTTGAGTTTCTTCCCCTTTTATAAGCATACATAATCATCAGTGGCTGAGTTGTTTTTAGACTATTTAAATGGGTTGAGACCTCCTTCTAACAAATAAGATACTAATACATATTTTGTTAGCTCAGGTACTTCTATCCGTGTAGTTTTTCAGTCAAACAAAGTAGGTTTTTTGGGATACTTTTGCATCCCTGTTCATCATGTTTCCCATTTGAACACTAGGCAAAAGGAAGTTGAATGACCTTCTGTCCAGCGCTGTACTGGTGAGTCATGTTTGAGAGGGCCTTCTTCTTATTGGCATCTGCATCATGCTTCTTGCGATGCTCCTCCTCCTCCCTCCTCTCTTTTTCCTCCTGTATGCAGCACAGTGAGAAAGAAGGAGAAAATACTGTCACATTTTTGATGTCCTAAAGTGTGAGGATATGAAGTAATGTTCACTGAGATCATACCGCAAGTCTGGCCTGCCTCTCCTTCTCCCTCTCTGCTCTGACTCTCTGCTGCTCTGCTCTCTCAGTACGACGTTTATCCTGTGAAATGAAAATATACGCCGTCATGGTGCGTTGAACAAACAGAATACAATATCTCCTCTTTGATTAAGACACTCACGATTCTGGTAACGAGGGCGATGAGATCCTCCTCCTCTTTCTTCCTCTGGACGAAGTGAGCCTCGATCAGAGACTGCAGCTCAGACAGATCCTTCTCCTGACGCTTCCTGTGGATGTCCTGCCATCACAAAACAAGTGTAATCCAAATAAATCAGTCGATCTGATCCAAATGGATGTTTTCAAAAATGAGGCATTAAATGAGATCCACTTACATCAAAATCCACCTTGTCACCATCAGGGATCTTTGGGGCAGCAATGTTTTGCATGAACCTGTGAAAGGGAAAAGTTTATAATTGTATAATCTATTGTATAATATAAGTGTTAAGTATTGGGATTATATCCACAGACAAGCCAGACACTTACTTGGGTTTTGGCTTTGACCCATCTGAAACAAGAAAAGACAATTATAGACATTATGAATAAATTGTTAAGTGAACAGGGAGTTCATATTCAATAGGTCTTTAACAAACTGTTGCAAGAAAAAAGTAAAAAATAAATTTGCGCACCTGTTGCCTCCTCTTGTGCTAATGATAAGGAACATAAGTAATAATTAGTCAAACGTTTGGAAATCAAATGAGAACTTGAAAACACGGGCAGATTCAACGTTCTTACCTTCTTCCTCCCTGCAGAAGAATTGACAAAAAGAATAAGAAAAGGATTAATAAGCAAACTGGAAAACACCAAACTAAACTAAATATGATGAAAGTACAAAAATGAGTACATACTGAACCTCTTCATCCATGACTTCTTCTGTGTCAGACATTTTGGTGTGGATGATCTCTGCAAAATGGATCCCTATTAGCCTATTTTAAGACTGGCAAATATTACAGATCATTAAACAACATAGCAGAGCATGAGATGGCAACGCAGCTCACAATGAGTGGCATCTATGACCCAAATATCTGTGGTCACTGAGGCAGAAGTGGAATAAGTATTCTTGTCTGCGACAGAAGCGATGTCACAATAAAATAAGCTGTTACTATTAAACGTCTTGCATTCAAAACAATATACTTACAGTAAGTATCAGCAGCTAAATGTACTCAATAATCAAAAATGTTGCAAGCTGTAAAATGCTGCTTTAGTTTACTTTTTTAGAAACTCATGTTTTGCATGTAAACTCGTTAAGTTAAAGGTGAGGTCCATCATTTATATTCAATATAGAAATGTCCCTCTGATTGTAGTTATTAGACATATAAAGTAACCCATAATTGAACAATATCTGACTTTTATTCAATTTAATGTCCTTTTTTTCTTCCTCCTTAAGTTATTTATATTCAAATATGTAATCTATTTGGAGTCAGAGCAGTTTTCAACTTTACAGATATAGTATAATTAAAGTATTATTTATAGATATGAAGAAGCAAAAAATACCTAAATCCAGCAAAGCACAACCCCAAATCTACTTTAGGACAGTGTTCAGTTAAACTGTCTTAGTTACTTTCCATCCAAGGTTATTACAAATATTTACGTAGTGTGGTTTAAGGTAGTTACAAATACCAATATATGCATCAACAGAAGACATTAATGAGAAGAAATAAATGTCACCATATGAGTGAGTGGTTATGAATGAAGTTCAACCACATTGATGACATTAAATGTAAGTACATTTGGCTTCAAGATCTTAGCTGACACAATAACTTAAGAATAACAGTTTACACACATTTCAAGATGTATGACTAAACAAGGTTTTGATTTAAGTAGCGGCACTGAAATAAGAGTCCTTACCTGTGACCCAGACAGAGAAAGCTCAGAGTTGACAGACTTCGGCTCCTTGAGCTTCACCAACAGGTTGAGCATCAAGGATACATAGTCCAGCCTCCTTACTCATGTGACTGCAGCACCCTATGGTGGGTGGGTCTATTGTTAGAAAACCGGACATCGTAATAGGACTGTGTCTCAAACACACACACACACACACACACACACACACACACACACACACACACACACACACACACACACACACACACACACACACACACACACACACACACACACACACACACACACACACATTCTGCAGGTACATTCCCGAAAAATTTCACTTATCCATTCAAGCTTTCACCAGCCTTACATATTTCAGCACTCCATCATTTCACAAGTTGTTAGAGGCGACATGAAACAACATTCCTCGGATCAGTAGCTAAGAACAAAGCAACAGAACTATAAAAAGCTTTTTTATTGATCTTTTTTTTTATTGCTGAAGCAAGAACAAACATTTATTCCAAACATTAGAATGAAGCAATCCACCTCTGACAAATGATTTTGATAGGATTGTGCTGTTGACTGACAGGAACACCAGGGTACAATTTAAAGGCATTACAGGCATTGTTAAAGCAGAGTGTATATTGCCATTGTCTTACAAACCTTTATCACTGTTGCAAATCAATGCTAATAAACTGTTAGTGGCATGTAGGAAAAGCAAAGCTGCAGAATTGCATTTGGTTACTGAATAGTTGTTACGGTGCAGATCCTCTTACACACGTATTCATAGACTTTGTTCGTGCTCATGTTACACATTACTGTGATTTTTATACAAACACAAGTCATAAAAAAGTAAACAAACCCAAGTGTGGTTGACAGAAACATTAAACTGCTTGCACTGTGTAGCAATATAATCTTCTGGGCTGAGGTGGGAGACTTATTGGTACCATCTAATAATAATAAGGCACTCTTTAAAATAAGGGTCAACACACTGTGTTACTAATGGTTCTTATTTATCAGTATGTCATCAAGTCTGAAGTTATAAATATAAAACAATAATCAATTAAGCTTTTGAATGTTAACATGTTGTTGTTAAATGAACTTTGGTCCAGAAGTAAACAGTAGTAGCCTACGGCAACGTTTTATTGAGAATAGGTATTTGGTCATAAACTCAAGTTTTGTAAAAAGTTAGCTGGTGATAGCAGTAAATGCAAGGTTGGGGAAGACAATACAAGCTATTCTTAGGGAAACATTCAATCCATGTAATAGTTTTCAAGGCCATGCATCCATAGGGCCAACACATTAGTTAATCATCAGAGCTTGGCAACCCAAAAACCTGTTCTGTTATCATTAATGATATTATCAGCAGTACTGACAATAATGAATGATGTCTTTAGCTACTACTTATAAACCCTAGATAAGAGTTGCCTCATTAGCATGCGTTACAGATGCAGTACAAATGACTCTCTTAAATACAGGCTAATCATCAAACATCCATATCAGTGGAAGGATACTCAAACCCAAGCGGTGAGATGAACATTCAACAGCCTTGGTTATCACATGGAGTCAAAATAGTGAGAATAAAACACAATTGCTTATTATTTAGTTTGAGCTATATTGGCAATACATGACAATAAGATCAGCTGGCTTGAAAGCAATTTAAAAATCCAGACAGCCATCTGAAGTACAACATGAACATTGATTAAAAGAATGGATACTACAAAATCCATTTACTAGAAGCGTTTAACATGTGGTTCTTTGTCCTGAAAACCCTTACTAATTATAACCTCTTGGAATTTCTGAGTTCAAATCAAGTGAAGTCTGATAACATTTGTAAAAAATGTTTGAGGAAACGTCTCTGGAGTCTTTGATGCAGGAATCACTCATCCTGGTCCCTTGTCTTTGCCTCATTTTGGTGTGAACTTCATGTGGAAAGCAGGATTGTTGAAGGTAAATGGATTCACATACAGTTGCATAGCCTTGTGTTTGGTCGGATGAGACTTGATATAAATGGTTAGGGTCTTACACCTGCTGAAAGAGAGGAATAGACAGACATTAAAGATCTGTAAGTAAATGCATACGTCAGTGTTTCATTTAAAACTAAATCGCTCCTCACATGTTATGAGGTGTTGAATAGGCTTAGTTAGGGCTGTTAATAAATGCTCTTACATCCATTCTTCTCCATGCACATGCTGTATGTGCATGTGCTTGCACATCAGAGTCTTACTCAGACACTTGTCCGTGTGATTGAAAGCTATAACTTTGTCATTTGCCCTTTACTTCATTCCTCAACGGTCTATTTCTGATGAAGAAGTGGAGAGGCTACAAACAAGGATCGCTATTTAAGGTTGGAGCTGACACTCGACAAACACTTTTCCATTCCTATTGTTCACACTCAGGCTAAAGCTTTGAGTGCTTAAAGTCAAAAGAAGTGAGACTTTTGAGCACGACGAACAAAGACAGCTTAACTCTACTAACACCAGGAGATGTTTAATGCTCTTTTGATGCACATGTTATGTCTTTATCACCAGCACTGAGTGAATAAGCCAGGTGATGGAGCCCGATTTGCTGCTTAAACGGTTAGTAATCCTCCCGAGCAGTCGGTTGTAATGTGAAAATCAAGCAGCTGCACTCTGGTATGTCTAACAACTCGCAAACAACGCAGCGTTGGACAGCCCAGGTGGCAGCGGCTGAACAGTGAACGGCAAAGACACGACAGCAATCCTAGGAGTCTGGAAGGTTCTTTAAACTGGGAAACAAGGTCAGGGTGAAGGTTTTTTTTTTAAATATAGACCTCAGTGCCACAGAGCTGAGCCTATGCCCAAAAATCCCCCGCAGTACATTTGATTTACAGTGAGCAGCTACTCTGGCGCAAAGGCAGGAGGTTGGTGGCTTGTGGTGGTTATGAGCCCACAGAGGGACATCAATCCGTCACGGCCCGACCCCCTCCCATTTCATCTCAACTCTGCTTCCTCCAGCACTGATCAAAATAAACCCTGGTTTAACAGGAAGTATGTGCACATTAACAGCTTGTGATGGAAGAAGTTGTCAGGTTCTTCATTAAGTAAAAATATAAATAACCAAATATGAACAAACTAGTGAAATACCTCCAAAATTGTACATAAGCTTATTTGCTTTCTTGTCCGAATAAGATAAAGAGACACCATCTGGGTGTGGTATTGATCTTCTCATTTAAATTTGGACAGAAAGTCAACAAGTGTTTCTTAAAAGATCAAACTATTCCTTTAATGTGTCATAGTTAATGTATGTGTTATGCAGTAGAATGGTTTCTTTCAGTGTTATATCATTATACTGTATAGTATGTGTACACCATTTATTTTACAAATACAGAAACTTACCATTGGTGACAAACTTATTCTTGACTCCAGCTGCCAGCTGTAAACACAAAGGGGAAAAGGTCAACAACTTCTGTTAGAGCCAGTATTTTTGATTTTATAAGAAAGGCCACCTAATTGTACCTTGGGATTGCTGTTAGCAATGAAAGGTGCTTTATAAATCGAATTTATTATTATTATTATTATTGTGATGTATGTAGTCAACGCACTATAAAAGGACTACAATTCCCACGGCGCCTGCACTAAAGCCACAGTGATGGGCAACCTGTTTGAGAGACGCCGTCGAGGAACAGTTTTAACCGTACACGTACTACACGTACACATACAAATCGTACAAGTACCCTTTAAGTCAGTGGTTCTCAACTGCTCAGGCCTCGGGACCCACTTTTTACTTGGTCAATACATCGCGACCCAACATTTTGAAGCACTCAAATCTATTCAACAAAAAATCGTGCCGTAATATATACGCTTTTCAGCATACAATATTAANCACAACATCACCCCCTCCCACGTGTGATAACGTTGTCCTACTCCAAACTCGGGCCGCTTCGGTCTTCACACTGTCGGTGTGTGTGTTGCGTCTGTCCCCTTTCCCTTTTGTTTGTGTTACCTCCGCCGACCTTCCATGCGGTGTGTCGAACAGCTGGTTGTACATCAAATTTTATGTTAATTTTTGTCGATTAATTTTACCTTTTCGTTAATAGGACCCTTTTCTTTCGCCGGGATGATCCAGTTGGTCCCACGATATAATCTGTTGGTTAATACTCCACCTATGAGTGGCATCGGTCCGTCAACCAAAATTTTCGGATGCTACGAGAAGTGTCCTTCTGCTGCGTGGTCTACTGAAGTTTTCGAGACCTGGAGGATTCTAGTAGGGTAAAGTTCATCTGTCTTTATCTCCTACAATTTTCATTTTGAGTATGGAATGGTATTCACTGTTTCAAGGGTGTTAGCGGACTGCTGTAACATCCAATCTACTGAATACTAAACTACGCACTATTTCCTGCCCACTGTAAATGACCTCCTCTGGCTCAACGTCCGTGAACAATCCCTCCGATGTACAAAAGATTAATCTCTCTGTTACCTTCTACTTAAATTCTACTTAGTAATACTTTTGTATCGACTGCAATCTTCTGATTAGATTACAGAACTGACGTCTCACTTTTATTAATGTACTCCAGACTATACCTACGATTCCCCGTGGTCCGATGCAGCGCAGTAGACAGGTTAGCTGTCTCGACGTGTCACTACGAACTCAGTCCACGCCGGCAAACTCCCTCGGTCTGCTCCACTCCCGACCTTCAAACTGCATCGACCCAATTTTACTCCTCGCCACGACGCTACTCACGTCAACGCTCTTACAGCTCAACTTCGGTCGTAGGTCACGTCCGTTTTTAATTCAATAATTTGGAGGTGTGGAATGCGTCGCTGCATTCACACCAAAAACTTGCGCTTCCTTGGTGTTGAAGAGAAGGACCCGTCCTTTGTCCCCCACCAAACTTTCTGGGAAAGAGACGTGTTACTTTCCACTTTATAGGACAACCAAGACGTAAACTTCCCTCCAGCACACCACGTATAATCATAAGAGTACCGTCTACAACCCGTGGTAACTGACTTCCTAAAGAGACTTATCGGATGCTGTCAGCTTCTCGGCGGGGAGTCCTTAGGACCAACCGAGGCAAAGGGCAAACGGGAAAAGCACGACTCCTAACTATACGGTCTTACTTTAAAAAAATTGAGGAGATGGACTACGAGGGTCTCGACTGTCTTCAGCATTTATAAATGCCATATCAGCGGAGGCTCCACAACCTGTCAGCGCCAGATCGTTGTTTAACCCACAGTGGTAAAACTCTCAGCCGTCTTAGCCTTAGCATTATTAGCTATTTTCCTCAACACAGTATATTCTTCTTACGTGTTCTTCTTGTGCTCCAGGATCACTCTCCGACCGCCGTGCTGTCATCACCAGCCACCACCAGTCGCCATTTCCAGCCAGATTACTCTCCATGCTCCTCCACCTCAAAATAAACCTTTTTCCAACACTCTGCTTTGTCCTGCGTTTGGGTCCTCTCGGATAACGTAACATTTACATGCATAAAAACCTTCATAACACACAAGGGGACGGGTAATAACCGGAAAAGCATGACATGAGACCTTTAAGTAGAAGTAAACAAGTCATGGTGAAAGATGAGAGGCATCTTAGCGTGGTACACACTCAAATACATCAGCAACAATGGGATGTGATGCCATGATATTTTTTTACAGGTATTCGTGATCCTGAGAGGATGCACCCGAATAACTGTATGTTATGTATGTCATTTTCAATTAATAAATACTGGCAAAACAAATAAAATCTCCATCAACGTCAACTGTACTTAATGCTGATTAACAAATGTCAGCATGACAACACACTAAACTCAGATAGTAAATAATGATATACACCTACTAAACAAGTATACCCTGTAAGTATAACCTTTATATTCAAGTCAGAAAAAGCTTTTATAAGAGTTTCAAATGACACACAATGAACAAACAGAGCAAAACATATAGAAAATACTTCAACTTTTATGGAACAATATGAACCATTTACTTTATTTCCAAAAATCCAATCCTTTGGCTGCACATGCCTGACTTGTGGTCACCACCAACTGTAAACTGTATAATGAATAAAAAAGCATGGTAGGATGATTTTACAATTTTAGGGCTGTGGCTTTTTGTTAGTCTGTTGCCATTAGCAACCTATTTTTGATTCCGAGCGGAAGACCAAAAGACAATAATGCTTTCAGGGCCGGAAACCAGAGAAAATCATCCTACCTGCTGTGCAAATAATTATCTGATGGCCACTACTATCATCATAGAAAACACACAAAGAGGATTATCACAAACACACACACACACACACACACACACACACACACACACACACACACACACACACACACACACACAAATTACCACTAGCAATGCCTCCAATGCCCTGCGACTCTAAGTAAAGAGATACAAGGGCAATTACTAAATTTCTTGTTCAATGTCAAATCTGACCCATAAAAATTGAAACCAAGCCTGCGTTAAGGCACCAAAAACGACATGGAACAGAAAAGTGAGCTGTTTTCTCGCCCGTCGGTCAGACATACTACACAGTCTGCACTGAAACAGACTGATCCATATAAGCGCACATTAGATATGTGGGGCTGCATGGCTGTGTTGGTGAAACAGGACCGCAGGGAGCAGGGAATGATCAGTCTGGGATTTAAGAGTATGGTTCACTTGGGAAGGACAGAGAAGAGGCAAAGATACACCCTCATATGGGCAGCATCTCAAAGACCTCTCTGCATACAGCCTGCGTGTGGCAGAGGGAGAATCGTTGTGTGACTGTGAATGAATGACAGCGACAAAAAGAGAAAAGGTTGTGATGAAAGAGAAAGAGAGAGTGGTCCAGGGAGCAATGAGCAAACAGACATTCACTGTGCAGGAACTTCATAGAACTCACAGAGTGTATAGGGCAGTAGATGGACCATTACTACACCATTAAGGATCAAAGAAGCAATAACCTAGCAAACAATCCCCACATCTGAAATATGGGCCTGTGTGTGTGTCTGCGCAGTCACCCACATGTGTAAAAGGGGTTATGTTCCAATTTCCATTTCCCTTATCTTCAATCCAAGAGTGGTCTTAACAGCTCTCAATCACATTGTTTGAAAAGAGACTTGCACTTCAGCTCTTTCAGACATGTAGGAAATACAATGTCTCTTTACTGTGGGCTTATGTAAACACCATCTATTGTATACCTAATGATAACAGGTAACACTTTCATCCGACATTTGTACTACCCAGTTTTATTATCATTATGATTATTTGTCATCAAGACGTCTTTAAATTAAATCTGTAGTAGATGCTGTTAGCAAGCTAACTTGGTTAGCTGTGCAGCTAGCTGTATAATTGACAAAAACGCCCTGTGGTTCCGACACCCAAACTCAGGAAAAAACTCTCAGAATTCTTCAATACATCCATCCATCCATCCATCTTCTCCCGCTTATCCGTGGTCGGGTCGCGGAGGTAGCAGTTCCAGCAGAGAGCCCCAAACTTTCTTTTCCCTGGCCACATCAATGATGTGGCCAGGGAAAAGAAAGTTTGGGGCTCTCTGCTGGAACTGCTACCTCCGCGACCCGACCACGGATAAGCGGGAGAAGATGGATGGATGGATGGNCAGAACACAGTGAAAAACTAACAATGGTATAAAATATTATTAATATGTCGGGTAGTAATAGATTTATTTATTTTCTTCTC